AAAAATTCGATGCCGATCATCAAAATTTACTATGTTTTTGCAGTAGAAATAAATTTTTGTGACATGTCCTACGACTGATATCTTTTGAATCCCACAACTTTCGTAATACAATTTACTCAAAAAATGTCTGAAATTAAACATGCACAGACGGTAATGTGGACAGATGGTATTGTTTTATGTAACTTTTGTTATATGGGGCATGCTGCAACAAAACCAGACAAAGTGAACATTGGTATTACCAAAGATTTCAAGGATCAAAATTTAGTCATTTGTAATGTGATTATAATTAAACAGTTTTATAATATCCCTTATCTAAGAAAAGAAGGGATTACTTATGAAATTTACCAAGAAAGAAAAATAATAAAATGTTGGAAACAAAAGACAAAAATCTTTGAAAAAAGAAAATAAAATGCAATGGATCTGATTATCACAATTATTTTTTTTACTAATTATTACTATATATGGGGTAGACTGCAACAAAACCAGACAAAGTGAACATTGGTATTACCAAAGATTTCAGGGATCAAAATTTAGTAATGTGGTTATTAAAATCTTCCATTTGTTATCCTCTTAATATATAGAATTACCTCTATATAAAAAAGTTAATATGAAACTCATTTATATCAGATCTACTATGGAACCCAAGAATTATAGCACCATTAGAAGTATTCTAAAAAAGGAACAAGGTGAAAAAATTGCACCTTACATTTTCAAAATAAATGACACTCAAATACTGGAAGCTTATCTAAGAAAAGAAAAGATTACTTATGAAATTTACCAAGAAAGAAAAATAATAAATGTTAGAAAAAGAAAGCATCATGATGATGCATTATTACCTAATAAAAAGCAAAAATCTTTAAAAGGAAAATAAATACCATTTTCTTTGATAGTTGGAATTAATTTCAATTTATACAGAGGAAAATTTCCTTAATCTTCTTTAAATTACTTTCTTATTTTCAATCAAGGTCATTTTTTAACTTCAATTTGAGCAACTAATTGACCATTTTGCTGTTGTTGTAGTTGTACTAATTGAGATTTTAATTTGTTGATTTCCTTTATTAATTCTTGAGGAGTTAACTCTTTTAATCTTTCATTTTCTGCTTCTAATCGCTTAATTCGATCTAAAAGTTCCTGCTTTTGTCGTTTGCTCCACTCCTTGGACTTTTCTTGAAACTTAACAAATTCCTCCCTTTCAATCTCCAATGTTTCCTCAGTCTCGGTTAGTTGTTCTTGCAAAGAGTTTATTTGTCTTTCATAGAAAGTAGACTGACTTATTTCTTCATCAGGTAAGAAAGGAAGTTCTTCTCTAAATCCTCATTATTTCTAATGCAATAACAGTTGCTTTTACCACTGATGATATCAAAATCCAGTTTAGTTTGTAATCTACCGCACCTATTGCACTTCAGCAATTCATCATTTAAATACTTTTCTTCGCACCTTTCACAGACCACATCATCTGAAATTCATTCACCAGTTACTTTGCTACGGGATCTTATTTGACTAACTGATTTATTATCTTTGCCATAGAGGTTAGAGCAAAAATCGCAAGTCTTTTTACTTGCTTTCTCTAGTTCTAAAACTGTGTAATCCAATTCTCTCATTACGATTCACTAGTTATTTAGACTTAACCTCTATTCTAGCAACCATTTCTTGACTATGAGATTTCTCTCTTTTGATTAATTTCTGCAATTGCTGAACCTTTGTTCGTGTTTTTGTTTTTAACTGCTTGAAAATGTTTTGTTTAGTAGAAGACATCTTGCATTCTTCTTCCTTGGGTAGATTAAGTAAAGGTTTTTCTGGTAAAGTCTTATTATTAGAGCAGAGCAAATTCTTTAAATTTTTATTCTGTGATTCACTTTCAGTTAATCGTTCACTCAATTGCTCTATTTTTTTGTCTTTTTGGCTTGATGATTCTTTTAGTCCCTTAACTAGAGTTTCTAAATAAGCAATCTTTTCACTAGAACTTTCGAGTTTCTTGTTTTTCTCCTTTATATCTTCTGCTTGAACTTTGCTTCACTTTTCACCAACTACTAAGATTTCCTTAACTTGTTCCTGTTCTATTTCTATTCTTTCTTCTAATTCTTGTTGTTTAGTTTCTAAATCCTTAATTCTTTCAATCTTACTTCCAATAATATCTTTAAGAATTATATCCTTAGTTGGTTTGCCAAAAATCTCACCTCCTTCTTCTATTCGAGAAAAAATATGAGCTCTTTGATTTCATAGTTTTCAATCTTTTTTCAATTCAGTGGCTAACTCAGTGTCTTCAAAATAATCTATAATAATTCTTTCAACTACTTTTTCTAGATTTTCTTTACCTTCCCATTTATAGTCGTGCATAAGACTATGTTGAAAACAAATAGTCATAAATTGATTTCTTAATGGTTTGCTAATCAATTTTCTTAGATCTTGTTCAATATTCTTGCTACAATGAGGAAATCTATTTCTCATATCTACCAATATTTGGTGAATTTGATTGATTGCTTCTTGCTTAAATTCAGCTTCTTCTTGTTCACTTACTTCTAGATTTTTTAATTCAGTAATTTCTTGTTCTTTATCGACTAATTGCTTTTTCAATGTTTCAATTTCATTTAATAATTCTTTATTTGCTTGTTGTTGTTCATTTATAATGTTTACCATGATTTTTTGTTAATTA